GGGGTGGGTAGGGGACTTATGTGCTGTGGAAATTACTGTTCTTAGTGTTTATTGTAATATTGTATAATTGTATTGTACATTGTAATACATTGTACTAACAGCGAATACTGTAATATGCATCATTTTAAGTAGCGCATGCATGATGTTCTTGTAGTATATATATACGTACCTCATGTGACACTCGTAATATTATATATATTATATTATATATTATATATGTTGTGTGTTGTGTGTGTGTGTGTGGTGTGTGTTGTGTGTGTGTGTGTGTGTGTGTAGTATGTGTGTGTGTGTGTGTGTGTGTGTGTGTGTGCGCGCATGTGTGTGTGTGTGTGTGTGTGTGTGTGTGTGTGTGTGTGTGTGTGTGTGTGTGTGTGTGCATGTGTGTGTGTGTGTTGTGTGTGTGTGTGTGTGTTTGTGTGTGTGTGTGGTGTGTGTGTGTGTGTGTGTGTGTGTGTGTGTGTGGTGTGTTGGTGTGGTGGGTGTGTGTGTGTGTGTGTGTGTGTGTGTGTGTGTGTGTGTGTGTGTTCAGACTTCTATGAAATACGCAGAGGAGATACAGAGGGATCGCAATGGGGGATGCGGAGAGATACAACGGGAGTGCGGAGTGGACTAGGAGGTGAAGAGAGCTGCGGATGAGGGACGAGGCGGAGTCGAAAGGGAGATGTATTATGGAATTGGTCTATACGGAAGTGATGCTGTGTTGGGGGTGCAGATGATATGCAGCTGGGGTTGGGAGATGTGGTCTTCTTCTTCTCTCGGTCACTACACTACACTCGCCAGCACTGCAGCACACAGGACTTGGCACGGTGGTTGAAAGCCTCAAGGTCTCCAGGGCTACATGGCTCTGGCAATAAGGGGCATTTCAGGAGATGTCCCATAGTCTGGTCCTCCCCGCAGTCGCATTCGATTGGATCTTCAGTGTATCCCATTTCTGCATGAGTGCCCTACATCGACCAAAACTGTCTGAGGCGATTTAGGCACAACCACGTCGGCCATATCTCGTTGGCTCTGGCGGGAGGGATTCTGTGGTCTGAGTGAAAGCTTATGTTGGCTTGCCTGAAGATGCTTTGACATTGGGCGATCCTGTAGTTTTGGAGGTTGCCATCCAGGGGTTGAACACGTGGATGAACTGTGGCTGGACTTTAGTCTCTTCTTTACTGTTTCATGCTGGAGAGGGGGTGGCGAGGGTCATTTTCTTGGTTAAGTTTCTCTACTTGGGATGAAGCCATTCGTCTAACGTGTGGGGGAGCGATGCCACAGAGCAGGTAGAGGTCATCTACGTTGGTTGGTCTCAAGCATCCAGAAATGGCTCTGCAGGCAATGTTCAGAACTGGGTCAATTTTTGCAGCATGGGGCGACCTACTCCATACAGGGCACGCATACTCAGCGCCAGAGTAGCACAGGGCGATAGCAGTGGTTCTGATTGTCCGGGCGTCTGTTCCCATTTAGTATTGGCCAACTTCTTTAGAATACTGTTTCTGGCACCCTTTGGCCTTTGTCTTGATGATGTGATTCTTGTAAGTTAGAGAGCGGTCTAAAGTAACACAAGGTAGACTGGGTATAGGTATGTTTCAGCCATTTGACTTTCAGTTGGCGGTTTAGATGGAAGGCACTTATTTGTGTTTTCCCGGGATTGGCTCGTAGATGGTTTGCTGTGTAGTAGGTGGTTAGGCCTGCGAGAGCATCGGTGATGGACCGTTCGGCTTCGCCAAAGGACTGTTTTTGTGAAGCAATGCAGAGGTCATCTGCATAAAGGAAGATGTGGTGGGAATGCGGAACCGGATTACATGGATGAGACAGGGACGGATGCGGATGTATGTACGGTATAGGGGATGTCGAGAGAGGATGCGAAGGGAGATGTGCAGGGAATAGTTCGGAGGGATAGGCGAACGTGTGTCGGTTGTCATTGGTAACTATAAGTGCATCCTGAGAAAATGTGTGTAACTTGTCATACTATCAAGAGCGAAAAATACACGTGTATTATTATAATGTATATAATGTAATGTATAATATATGACTTGTATGTAATAATATAACGTATGTATGTAATATGTATCTATAATATATGTAATATAATGTAATGTATATAATATATTATTAGCTCCTGATACTATCCAGGCACACTAGGTGCATCCTGGCAGCATGTACACATTGTCATATTACGTTCATCACAGCAGCAAATGCGCGGTCTGTCATAATATACTGTGCGTAAGCTCGCGGTGTGAATTATAGACAGCGTCATGCTTCTTTGGCTCATGCATGACTACATACACATCTCGGTATTATGTGAATGAACCTTATTAACATGCGCATGACTAACCGCATCGTTGAAGCGAATATAAACTTAAGAGGAATCGCTTACATTGCCAGTAATTCTCATGAGATGACTGCATAAATTCTTTCGGGTTATGCGGTATTTATATGCAAAGCTTGCTGAGTGATTGACACAACGAACGCGGGTAATGTGAAAGAATGACTTTCTTCTAGGATTTCCAAGCTAACCCTAGCTGAAAATGAATTCTCTAAATAGTTCTGACTTTACTCAAGTTCGGTTCTTATTCCACTGACACGAAAATCAGTGGAATTGGAACGCCGACGATAAATAATGAAGAGAATGAATACTAAGCAATGCATTGTATAGTAATAGAATAAAGTAGCTGTAGTCAATAATCATTTTATTAAATGTAATATTAGCACTGGTAATCTGAGGCGGCGAAGCGCCAGGAATATTGGCAGTTGTCGGTAGAATATTGATTTTTCTCATAATAATAAGCACAATTTATCGTTCAACATGCTAAAGTGTGTAAGAATTTCGAATAAACGCGATATTTCCTCACAGATCCCTCCACGTTATCGAAAAACAACAACAAATATCTTGTGACGCGATGCAACATCAGGCATATCGAACACAGAGATTTCAGCGTATGGCCCTTTTCCATTTGCCACAATAAATCTAGCTTTGTTTCACCGTTTAAAACACTTATTAGATTATGAAGCTGTGAGAGGAGTGAATCAAAATAAAATTCCAACATACAAAAGCAAAAATAATACTATACTCTCTACGAAATCCAATTCTATAAACACAACAGAAGGAATTCCTGCTTTTTTATCATCATATATATTCTTGTGTGATTTTCTGATCTTATCTAACTCAAGTAGCCACCTGTTAGCTTGTAACGAGCCCGTCCTTGAAAGGCAGAATAGCTGTATCTTACATCTTTATACAGCGCATATACGTTTTAACTGGCAACGTAATATTAAATACTTGTGCACACAAGTGTAAAATATCACTGTCAAAACTCACATAAGTTCATTTCCTCTCAGCGCTCGTATTGGTAAAACACATCTCAAAACCACTTAAAATAATCAGCAACTGCCACTGCGCTGGGTTCATTTTACTTCTCACTTTGCCAATCATCCGTTTCTGAGCGAAATCTGTGCAGCACAGATTTATGCGTCGCTGATTTTTGCTCGCATTTGCTGTAGTGCACGTGTTAGCCAGTTGCTCAGCGCTGGCACTGAGCTTCTATCGTGAAGTAAAACGCGATAAAGAGATATATGCTGCTATCAGGGTAGACGCTGTCGGAAGGATCGCAGCTTTAGAACAAAACGTGTAAACGATCGTATAACAAATTGTAACGCAACATTTCTCGTTTTCCTGACAACGGTTTAAGACGAAAACCTGTAACTTAAATTATATTATAACTTGGGACTAATAATTGTTATGTTAACGGCCCCTGGCTTGTTTACTTTTCCCTATTGTTGAACGCGCGGCCAGTTGTGAAAATGTCTTCGAACGATGGGCGTCCAGTATTATTTTAACTTTATTATTTTACAGTAAATATTTACCATTAAATCGCTGGTTAAAATGCGATTTAAGATGCTAATATTTAAACTTTAATGAAAGTGAATTCATTTAATTGAACACATTATTACTTGCGTACTACTTACACTCTGTGTATTAGGCTATGTCAAGCAAGCGTGAACGGTGCAGTTTGCGTATACTAGTTGCAAATTTGTTTTTGGTAAGCGCATAATACTGAAATTATATGCGCACGTATTATATATTATTTACATTGAATCAGGAGTGAATAACAAGTTTTTTTTCATTCACTGCTTATGCTATAATTATATCTCGTTCGCATAAAGTAACGAAGCTCCCTCTAAATGTCACACTTTATGCAGCTATCAAACTCAACACAACCCTCACGAGAAAACACAATATATAGATATTAGAACATACACACACAACTAGTAACAACAATGTTGTAAGACAAACTAATGATAGAATATTCAACATTAATATTCGATTTCATATTTATATTATTATTGATTTGATAGTTATATGAATAATAATTTTATAAATATTAATTCAGTAATTATTTTAACATTTATTAAATATTCTATTTTTAGTCTGTAGTTTGATACGATGAGCAGGTGATAATTATACCCCCGTCAGACTGGACGGTGACCATCCGCGACCGTAAGGCGACCAGAAAATATACAAGGTCGCCGACAAACGTGAACACAACGCGAGAAAAAGTCCCAACAAATTACAAACTTTAAAAAAACCGCGCTCTTATCGCGACCTGTGCGATCATACCGCGTTCTCACGGCGCGCCCGCCACGACCTCTCCGCGCTTATGGCGTTTCAATTGAGATCTATGGGGTTGGCAACGGCGATCACCGGCGTTCCCGCGGCGCTCTCACCACGCTCATGGGGTTCTTAATTACCACGCGTCTTCTACGTGTATCGCGACTGCACGGCGACCTCACGGCGTTTCTACCACGTTCTCACGGCGACTATATAAGCTGGTCAGATTTTCGGAAATTTCAACTGTATAGTTGTGCGTTTGCTAGAAACACGATGCCAAAGAAACATGCTACCAGAGGCCGAGGCCGTGGCCGTGGCCGAGACAGATCGGCATGAAAGAGATCGGATGAGACAGATCCATGAAGTCGCCGTTGCAAATGTTACCATTTTCGCAGCGTCTTTGCCACGCGTGTACTGCGCGTGTACTACGTTCATGGAGATGTTACGACGCTTGTCTCACGACCTTCGCGACTCCACCGCGTTCTCACAGCGTTCCAGGTCAGATCGCCAAACCTTGGCGTTTGTGTTGAACATGCTAAAAACAAACGCCGTGACTCGGCGATGATTGGCGACGATGGCGACCACAGCACGATGTCTGGCGTTTCCACCACGCTTATACCACGCTTATGGCGACCTTGACGCGCTCTGGGCCCATTTTCTGTCGCCGTAGCAGCGCAGTAAGGACGCCACCCCGGTCTGACGGGGGTGTTATAAAGCTTAACTGAAGATAACGGACAGTACGAGTATGAACCACACGAGAATACCGACGACAATGCTGATGATGATGAGTAGCTTGGTGCGTTTGGACGCCTCTGCGGCTTCAGCAATGTCTCCTCCCGTGTTCCGCAGATCTCTTACCTGTGTGTATAGACATTAGCATAAGTGGTGTGGCGTATTGGGAACGTCGGTATCACGAGCATTCAATTAGGTGTCCCGGCTTTTTTATTTCGACGAACTCAGACCGCAATCATTTCCTCCCTGCAACCCCCCTCCTTTACTATACTCTCTCTCTCTCTCTCTCTCTCTCTCTCTCTCTCTCTCTCTCTCTCTCTCTCTCTCTCTCTCTC